AGATGTCACAACGGCTACGACTGATGGTGCAATAATAGAGTTTGTGTTGATCAAGTGCTGTGATGTCTACAGTAATCAATGAATCATCAAAGATTGCTTAGGAATATGCACTGCGTTGCGTCTGTAGCACTAAGAAAACAGTTAAATTTTAAAAGTGCGGTTATAAGATCTAACAGATCTTCTTGTTTGCTTTGCATTTCATTGGTTCATTCCTATTTTGAATACATTCAATTGCTTTGGTTTACATGTTGTGACAATCGACTGCAAACCACACTATAATTTATGGTGAAGGAAGTTATGTCCAAAAGGGTGTAATTATTTTCACCTAATATTGACAGAAATCTTTGAGCCTTCTATAAAGGTGTTACACATACAAAAGCCTTTTCATACCCGTCCTAGACCATGCAGTGAATATTGTTTTTCCAAACAGCACTTACATGTTTTAGAGACGATTCGAAAAAAGGAGGCTTTAGTTAATAGACTTTTCTTACTTCTTTTTTGACAGGTGATTCTAAGGTGTTTGTGCAGAGTAATTTGCAGAATTCCCCAACTTCCACGACATTCCCAAGCAGATGTAGTGACAAAGTAATGCAGCAAGATTTGGGTGAAAATAATAAGCCACCATTAGCAGCTGAAGTTGTTTCCGATTGCTGTCCGAAAACAAATGAGAAAATGGAAGATGGAATCGTGTGCAAAGAACCTTCAGAGCAGCGAGAAATACAGACTGCTGCATTGCACTCAGAAGATTTAGCAGCTGGTAGACCAGCAGGTTTGTGTTCATGCAGGTTGTAATTGCCACCAGAACAATGGTATTTTAAATTAAATTGTTTGAAATTTGAAGTGCAATGTATTAATTAAATTTTAGGCAGCTATAAGACAATTCCAGCTTTATCTGAGAAGCGATGGATGCAACAAAACTGGCTGATTAGTATGGGTATTTACAAAGGAAATACTCAAGATTATAGATCGGATGTAATTGTTAAATTGTTGTTGTTGTATTTTTTTTGGGGGGGGGGTGCAAATTGAAAACAATAATCTATCAATGTAATTTATTGGTCCCATTTTGTATCAAAATTACAGAATGCCCATTCTGTATTGAAATTACAGATTGCATATTCTGTATACCAGTAATTTGGGGTTTCCAGCACATTTTGAAATGTTCCTGAATTTTTACAATGTTCATATCAGTGTTGATGTTGGAGCCAGAATACCAGCTACAAAACAGCTACGAAACATTGTAGATGTTTACTTTAAAGGAGGTTCTGTCAAAGTTCCTAGTAAGCATAGAAGGGTACTGAGATTCAGATCATTTCATTGAGTCAGAAGCAACTTTGTCAGTCAATGTACAGCTCACAGATCAGTGCATTAAAAGGCCCTAGTCAACCACACTTTTCTTTTTGTTTACATGCAAGCGTTTGGCTATTATATTTTATTTGGAGCATGTTGCAACAAAGGAAATCACTGTGAAACTACTAAAGATGATTAAACATACTTTCAGCTAGGAATACAGCTTACAGTAAAGCAATAAGACTTTGCTTCACCATGCAATATCAGTAATTTCGATGGCTTTGAAAATAATGGAGGTTGACTAGGGTCATTTAATAGCTCTCCCACATCCTACAATGCTAACATGCAATTCTCATAGCTAGTCTTCCATAAACTTATCTTTACTGTTAGGTTAGTTTTTACTTGGTGACAGATCAAGTCAGTTTATCTTGGTGATCACATCATTTTATTTTGACTTACTTGCACTTTACACTGATCAAACTACTGGTTCTTTCTATTAATACTGTGTGATTCAGGTTTTGAGGATACTCAAATGGCAGTCGACATTCCTCATGGTTTTGAAGTGGGTTCCATGGTAGAGGTTCCTATGTCAGATGGTCTTCCCCGATATGGTGTCATTCGCTGGATTGGCATTCTTCCACAGTTGAAGGATAAGCTGGTAGCAGGTCTGGAATTGGTGAGAATTTAAATAATTGGAACTAGATATTGTGAGGATTTATAATGCTATGACTGTCAGAATACACGGGTATAATACATATTGATAAAGTGTGGGATAATATCAGCCCTAATTAAAGAAGTCTTGGCGGTCCATGCAGAAACGACCAATATTCTCCCAGCGTTGTCCCCATAGCATGCTTAGTTAATGAAGGACTCACAGTGTATTACACAACTTAAATAATGATCGAGACTGGTAGTAAAACTTTGGCTGCTTTCAGTTTCTGCAAGCCTTGGTTCCAATTGTTTGTTTTGGACGGGCAAATACCCTTTATATTCAATGATTTTACAACATTTAGCTATCTTTTCTCAAACATTTCTTGTTGTCTGAAACAAAAAAAAAGTTGCATAACATAATAAGGTAAAAGTGGAGTTTGTGAGCCAGTCAGAGGGCTAAAACTAAGATCACTGAGGTTGAGTATTAATTAACAGCAGTTAAACATTTAAGAAATAGAAAACATGTACCGTGTTTTCTGTTTCTTAAATGTTTAAGAAATAGTCAACTATGCGTGATAGTTGACTCGCCCTCGTCAATTATCACGCGATAGAAATCTCGAGCTCGTAATCTAATTGTTAAATAGAAAGACGATGTTAAGGACGTTGGCGCTAATTTGTTTCTGTGCATCCTTTTTAAATCAAAGTAAAAAAACTTACTTTTTTAAATTAGCGTATAGCATGCCATAGCCTCATAATATGTTTTTTAAATTGTATTATTTTGAGACACATTTTTCCTATATTTTTACTGTAATCTTAATGTTCACATTGTAAAGCGCTTTAGAATATTTTATAATTTTAGCGTTTGATAATTCTATTATTATTATCATTATTATAATAATTGTACTCGTATCTATAGCAAAGTTCTCGATCGTGATTGGTTCTCCGCGCGCCTATTTGTCACGTAATCGGCGTGAGATCACGTGGGTGTCCAGTTACAGGTATCCAATTTGAACTTTTTGTAATTTGATAGCTGTAATTGGATACCCACGTGATTCGCACGTCAATTACACGCGCTTTAATGGCTTCCTTAGCAATGTTTCCCACAGACGTGTTCGCTCAAAAGAATTTCTCAAAAGAAATTTTTAATTCCAAAATTTGTTATGGATACGATTAATTAGTAATTGGACCTCGTGTCGTACAATTTAGGGAGTAATCGTGTTCGTAATTTCAAATCGGCCCCGCGCTTCGCACTCGTCGGATTTTGAAATTACTCGCGCTATTTCTCCCTGAATTGTACTCCGCTCGGTCGAATTACTATTATACGTATTATCCTTACTGCGCACGCAAACTCATACGCCATGTCATGCATCGAGCACGCGCCAAGTAATAAAATGAACGATGATAGGGCAGATGGCCATTGCTATAGCTTTGCTTGGATTTAACGATCTAGGACGTTCGGTGATCCCTATTTTTCTTTTGATGGACCATTTTCTATACCGATTTTCTACGTTGAGCAAAAAATGAAGAAAATCTATCGATCATAAGTTTGAATTTTTTTGCAAAATGCACCATCAAATTCCGTTCTTTTTAACTCTTTGTTTATCTGTGCGGCGGTTTGAAATGCCTCTTGGAGGGTTAAGTTTTGTGAAAACGTTGGCAACATAACGGATTCACTTACACAAAATATTACTAGGATAGTTTGTCTCCGTTGACTCATCTTTGATATTTTAAGCTAAAAACTCTGGAGACCATGCTGACTTACGATTACCAATTTTTCAAAGTTAGACTAGTATTCCACAAGCTTTATCTTTGAGACGAAGTTCGTGACCCCAGCTTTGTTTTCATTTCTGAAACAAGTATTGAAACAGGTAATTCATTATCTGTCCGCAGTGAAGAAAATCTATTGATTACAACGTTTTCGCGCGAACGTCCTTAAACCAATCAGCGCGCATATTTTCTTTGGGCTATGTTCTAAAACCATTTGTTTCATACTTTAAAGGAAGACGAACAGTCTCCTTGTTCAGATGGCACATTTGGCGGAGAGAGATACTTCACTTGCCCAGCAGGACGAGGTTTTTTCACTTTACTGGAGCACTGCCGACTAGATTCTCGTTTTGCTCCCAACACACCAAATAATGACGCAAGTTTTCATGCAGAAAAAGGTTATACATCTTTTTATTTAAGGGAATTAACGCTCCATGTTAATGTGACTTTGAAATTTTCTTCTTGGTATGAGTCCTATTTATCAGTTTCTAGAACATGAATTTTGGCATCCTTATGTATGACTTGCTTGTCAAATGAGAACTTGTTTTGTTTCTTTTTTTAGTCTACAGGTCTTAAATTTCATTTCTGTTGTCATCACAGAAACTTCATTTCATCAAGAATGTTGTTATAATTCTTATTTGCATTATTTGCCTTTGTGCTGAACTGGTTTGCTTTTTATTGAATATGTTACCAGTAATTTAAGTTACGTTTATGTAAAAAAAAAAAA